AAATAATGAGACAGGGTAAATATTCCCATTCCAAAAGGGAGAAATAGGGGCATAGAAAGGAATGGGACAAAGTAAGACCGAAACCCAGTAGGTCAGACATTAAGTCCCATAGCTCTGTCCTGGGCCTAGGTAAGATGTGTGCTCCAAAGGGTGTGGGTGGCCCTGTCTCTGCACCATTGCTGGCTGCAGCCCTCATGGCTTCTCTCCTGGGTGGCTCTGCTCACTGCACCTTTCTTCAGCAGACGTTCCCTGTTCCTGGCATCTCCAACTTCCTCAGGTCTCCACTGGACTTACAGCTTCACTCTCACAGCTTTGCACACTGCCTTCCCAGGGACATACTGCCTAGCCTTCCAAGCTGTTCTCTGGAATCTGGGTAGGAACTTCCATGACCCCACAACCCTTATATTTCTCATGCTCAAAAAACCAGCACCATGTGAATGATGCCAAGGTCCGCCATCAGCTGGAATAGTAGGGAGGCCCCCTTGGACCATGGCTGAAGTAGCCTCTGAGTGCTGTGAAATAAATCTCAGGGAACTAATTCCCTAGGTTGCCCTTCTTGAAGAGGAGGCCCAGGGGCTTACTTTTCAAATGAAAGCATTACAGTTTTTACCCTTGAACCTGCAAAGGGTAGGGTCTTGATGATTCCTGAGATGCCCTCAAGGCACCTTTCCTATTATCCTGATGCAAAGTATTTGGCTTATTTTTAATGCTAATCTTTTCAGCAACCAAGCTCTTCTTGCCTCCAACTTTACAACTGCTTCCTTTCCAGCCAGCAGCAAAATTTTTCAAAATAAACAACTCTGCTTTTTGGACCTGATAAAACTGTAAATCTGCCTAAAAGAAGTCAGCAATACATATGCCACAGCCTGAATGTTAGGTTTCACTGATATTTCCTCTGGAAGATTAATTCGCCCATCACCCTTAATCTTAGTTTCCTGCAGAGTTTCAAGACATGAGCAAAATGTAGACAAATTTTCTGCCAGAACATAACACACATGCATGGCCTCAAGTCCAACTACCAATGGAGTCCTTGTTCCTAATTGAAGCCTCCTGTGCTTGCTTCAGCAGCACATATACTAACTGAAGCTTCCTGAGCATGGCCTTTACTGTCTGCATTCCTATCACCTTCTGGTCTTCTGAGCTCTGACCAGAATCTCCCATCAAACTCAGCTTATAGCATGCTATAGTTTCTCTAGCTGGCATCTCCAAACCTTTTCAGACTCCGCCCTCAAGTAAGTTCCAAAGGGTTCTAAACTACATGGTCAGGTAGAGTCACAGTTAACAGCCCTACTCCTGACACCATTTCTGTCTTGGTCATGTTCTCATTACTGAAACGAAATACTCAATGCCTCAAACTTAAAGAGGGGAGAGGTTTCTTTTGGCCCATGGTTTCAGTGCATGGTTGGCTGGCTCCAAGGCAGAAATAGCATGGTGGAAGGGCCTGGCAAAGGAAAAGATGCTCAACTCATGGCAGTAAGGAAGCAGAGAGAAGGGAAGAGCAGGGGAGGAAGTACGACCTAGAAGGGTGTACTCCCAGTGACCCTCGTCTTTTGAGCAGGCCCCACCTCATAACAGCACATTCAGCTCTGTGTCCCCATGACCCACTCTCCTTCCCTGAGCCCAACATCTGAACACATAAGGCTTTCGGGGGTCATTACAGATCTAAACCATGACGGGGAGCAAAGAAAAAAGGGACTGGCAAGGAGGGTGGGATAAGTGTGTTTTAAGCAAGAGGCTTAGTGGCAATGTGTCTTTACTGTAAAAAATTCTTTTTGATTTAAATATTCACTTTATTTTCAGTCACACCTCACATAACATTAGATGTGTGATGTAATTGTCTCCAAGTAACTTGTCTGAGTTGGGCGTGATTTTTAGATTTTATTTTCATTTCTGCATAAAAGAAAAAACCAAGTCCCTTACTTAGGGTGGAAACATTACCTTCATGCTTTCAGTCTGGTAAAAAAAAGAAAATAGAAAAAAGTTTGGGGGCAGTATGGGAATTGACTTCAGGGTGGCAACACCTGCTCAGCAGTGCTGTGCCACTTAGCTGTGTGCCAACTCTTTTAATTTAATTTTGTTTGTTTATGTATTTATTTATTTATTTTGGGACTGGGGGTTGAACTCAGGACCTTGTGCTTTCCAGGCAGGCAGTGGCAACACTGAGCTAAATCCCCAGCCCATCTTTTAATTTTATTTTGAGACAGGGTCTTGTTAAATTGTCCAGGCTGGCTTCTAAATTACGATCCTCCTGCTTCAGCCTTCCTAGTACCTGGGATTACAGGCTAGGCCAAGCCTGGCTAACAAAACAATGTGCAATTTTAATAAATTAGTAAAAAATTTCAAAGTAAGAAAATTCCAGTGGAGCACAGACAAATAATTCCAATCTGTACACTTGTGCTGTGAATCCCCAATATACTGGGGAGGTGGCTAGAAATCTGCTCTTCAGGATGAACTGTTGGCAAAACATATCAACTAACTTTTTGTTCTTTAAAATAGCAGTAAAACAAGGTCCTGAGTTCGATCCCCAGTACCAAAAAATAAAAAATAAAATAAAATAGCAGTAAAGGCCAATAAAAATCTGTAGATTAATAAAATTGAGTAAGCATTCCGTAATGTGTTACATATAGCACTAAAAATAGGCCTACTCTCTAGTTTTACCAGCATCCAGTTTTGAGGCCTGTCAATTCTAAGAATTGTATCACATTGTAGAGAATAATTTGTGAAAGAACAAATGCTATATTCTTATAAATCAAAAATGGGGAGAAAATGTTGGAGTAGGTGAACTAATAATTTGATTCATTCATGCATGCACAGTTAGTTACCTGCTGCATTCCACAGCATTGCCAGTCCTCAGACTGTTACAAAGGTGAATGACAGATGCCTCTAAGACGTGCAGTGGGGAAAACAATGATGGGCTGAAGGAAGATGGCACCGCCGCAGACACTGTGTGCAGGAAAAGACAGGAGCTCCTGCCTGCCTCGTGGAGCTGGGTACTGCCTCTGAGGGGACATTTGAGATGGGTCTAAAAGGATGAGGAGGAGGAAAGAGACCACGAGCCTGCTGTGTGGGCAGCATGGTGCTGGAAGCTCTGACAGCCCTAGGAAGAATAAGATCCACTGGGCAAGAAGACACCTGCAGTATTCCAGATAAAGCAGTATGCACGCACGATTACAGAGGGATTGTGGAGTCCTGTCTAGAAGTCAGAAAACAGTTCAAGACAGTCTTCTTTCGTTCTTAGAGTAAGAAGTACAGGCTGAGAATGAGAGTTCTGTCCCCATCGGGCTCTTGGAAAAGGCCATGCATGTCAGCACATCCAGAAGTGGCAATTTCCTAGTTCTGGTGAAGGTCTTAGCAAGATGCACGTGTGTGTGTCACAGTTTGTTTGGCCAGAGGAAAGTGTCCCAGAGGGGGAGTTGCTGGCTACATCAGTAGGCTTACTTTCAAGGCTTTGGCACTTTTGGGCAAGTTGTTTTCCAGAAGGATTTCTGCTGTACACACTCCTGGCCCTACACACTCCTGGCCGTACACACTCCTGTCGGTACACACTCCTGGCCATACACACTCCTGGCCGTACACACTCCTGCCCGTACACACTCCTGCCCGTACACACTCCTG